TACCTCCAGACTGCAGGTACCTGTTCCTACAGCCCCCTTCCTTTTGGGCTCACAGGACTGACTACAGATGCGTAGTTGAGAGCGGTCATGTACAGTAGTTCTTCATTCCTGTTCATGCCAACATTGTGTCAGGAAAACAAAATGTTCAGAAGTTGAACAGAAAAATGTTGTCTTTATGAACACGGGTTGAAATCTGTGCTGCCTACAGAGAAGTCTTAAGGACCGTGCTCTTTGCCCACACACCCTCCTTACTGCTAACATCCTACCTCCCCAACACCTACCCTTCACTTTGCAGACAAACTCAGAGAAACTGAATTTGCTTCACTAATAAGCACTTGGCACAGTAACTGTGGATTAGTTTATAACGTCTGTGACAGTATCTTAGTTATCTTTGCTTAAAACACCTACCCAAACTTTGAGAAAACACAAAGTTTTTATTACCACTGAAAATTTCAGGCCCCAAGAGGTGGATGCTTTTTCTCTCCATTGTGGGAATGCCAGTGGTTTTGACAGGTATCTTCTTCCTTTCTCCAAGAAACCAAGAAAATAGAAAAAAAGCAGCAGAGCTATAGTATCTTCAGCATTCTTGGCAACAGCCAAACATTGTATTTGGAATTATTGCAGTTCCAGTAAGTTTGTGACAGCTCAAAATTCCTGTACAGAACAATTTCCGTGAATGAGACAGGCCCCCATCTCAGTAGCCACACTTACTCAAATTGCTGCAAAACTTACGTGTCTTGACTGGGCTGGTGTGTTAGAAACCAACAGGCAAAGAAAGAAACCAAGGGGTGGGGAAAAAACGCTTTGCGCACAGTCTCCCTCCTATATAGACTGACCTGTGGAAAACACCCACTTACATTTTCTTTTGATAGCCGTGTTGCAAACCTAAAGGGAAGTTCTCTCACATAACAAAGGAAGTCAAAAAAACCCCAAATGCAACCAGCATGTAATAAGAATTTTATTGAATACATTTAGAAAAAAAATGGAGCATGAAGACATGAGATTAATTTCTGCATATAAGTTTTATGAATGAGCAGAATCAAACAACCATGCAAAAAGACATCTCCCCCCTTCAACTGTAATTCAAGACTCTTATAATGGCAAAATTATTACCACCTTAAAACAGTGTTCCAGACACATAACTCATTACTTTAAAAAGGATCTCTTTCCTGAACGGAGATAAAAAATATTTTAGTAAGACCAATGATTAACAGGTACAGTATTTAATCAATACTCATGCCGTTTCAAGCAAAAAATGCATCATTCCATAGAATAAGTAGATTTTTTTCAAGGCAAAATTCCTAGCAAAACTAGTCCCTAAACTACTGAAATGGTGACTTGATAATGTACACGTTCCAGAAGATCATCCAATGGAAGATTTTTTTATCAAGTTACATCAGTGCCATGTAAAACGTAGGAGTCAGAGTAGCTGAACAGCCCAGTGCTTAACAGTATATTAACATTAAAAATACATTCCAACTCCTCCAAGAAATGTTGTTACAGATACGACATGTAGGAAATACGTAGGATATAATAGGTAGGAAAATGGGCTTATGCATGAGGGAAAAGATTAAGATTTCTGTCGCAAACTTGTATACCCATGCAATTTTTCATATTAAAAAGGGATTGTGAAGGAAAAGTTTTATATGCACCTGGATAGTCAGTTCTGAGACATGTAATACCCTGTCTACATGTATAACATGTGAACCCATACTGAAACACACTACAGCTTTTAAAGACTCACTAATTATAAAAATATAGCTAGACTGTATCAAGTTAACCAACTTGTTAAATACAGCACAACTTCTGAAAACATGAAAAAAATGGTAAATTTAACAACAAGTATTCCAGTACATACTTGTTTGCAATTTAGTTTCACTATTATTAGACATGCAAAAGCCTATGTGATCAAAAAATCACTTAGCTTAGTTTTCAAATCTTGCTTTTGAGAAAGTACTGTGATTGGTTTGGTACACTACAGCTGGTTTCACCTTCTCTCCACATTTACTAATAAAAGTTACAGCCAAACCAATATTCCACTGAAGTGTCAAGATGTCATTTCATGAAATACCAGGATGAAACATTGGTGTGTTGAAGCCTGTTCTGAGCAACTGCTCAAAACACTCAAATTCAGTAAGTGACACAGCTTTTGCAGCTTGATGATGGATGCAGACATATGGTTATAAAAAGCTGCTGAGAATGCAGTTAAACAAGAGACTTATGGCAGTCTATACCATCTGAAAGTTTATCCTTTTATTTTGAAAAACATCACAGGCCACAGAAAACTAGGCTATTATTTGTAAAACCTATACCTTCTTGCCTGATCAAAGCTGGTTTGTTTTTTTTTTTGTTTACTTACTTTTTTAAACAGGTGAATTTTAGAAGTGGTTTTATTGCCACTGATGGGGAAAGTCATTATGGAACTCCTGAAGTACCTTTAATTTTGTGCTGAAAGTATGAACAACAGGAAAAGAGTAGGAGGAATGAATAAAAAGCAAACGCAAAACTGAGGACCATGTTTACAGGAGCTTTCTTCTACTTATGGCCAAGTTGACTCAGCTGCCATCAGAATGTAGTCTGAAAGAGTATAACAAATAGTTACGGGGTCCCAAAGCCTGCAGCATTAATAGCAGAAGGTCCATTGACCCACATTTCTCTCCGTTTGCATTTAGTATACTAAGGGAGAATATGACTTGCTTAAAAACAGAAATTCTGTTTTCCCAAGAAATTCCATTTCCCTTGCAGTTCTTTAAAATGGATTTTTCATGATGTAAGCCTACTGCATATGAGGACGCAAATCAATTGAAAATATGTTAAAAAATGTGGAAAACATAAGATATTTAGGGTATTTATATATCCATATGGATAGACACACGTTTGAACTTGCTTGTTAAATAAGAACTTTATCCTGGCATTTAAACACTGCTCCTTTTGCTGTCCAAGTTCAGAGTTCTGCATACAAAAACACAGATGGCACGCTAGTAGCTACAGCTATCTAGAATTTTTCATCCACTGAAGTGATTGTTCTCAGTATTATACTAGTAAGAGCTCCACTTGTTGGTTCAGAACACATCAGGGAACAGCTGTTCGATTTTTAGAGGACATTTTTGTAATTGTACCCTATCACTTCATAGCACCTGACATTTTCAAATTTATTTAAAAAAAAAAAAAAAAAAAAAAAAGAAGGCATTATTAGAGGTTAATAGACTCTTTTAGGCAGAACTTAGAGCTGGAACTTTTAATAGGGGCGCAAGGGAGGAAGCAACCACTCTCCCTTCAAGTCAGTGAGAAACAGGATCTTGAAATGAAGGTGAAGAAGCACCAAAACAAATTTCATATATACAGCACTGGTGTTACTTTCTTAGTGTTTGGGGATGGTTTCTTTGGTAATGTATTTCCTACTACTTTAAGCATGAAGTAGGATTTCAAGTACTGCTAGAGACAGAACTCTGAGCTCAAGTCAAATTATATATGTTGGAAATGAGTAAGATTCTTAGAAATCTGTATTTAACTTCAGAATGCCTTTACTACGTTCTGTGTTTCTCCTGGCATTATTCCAGGTCTGCCAAGGTAGGCAGATGAGCATCCACACATTTCAACAGTCCACAGGACTGCTTGTTTTCATATGTAAGTTTTGGCACAATAAATAGTGGTGTACATTTTGTATGACTTATATACGAAAACATTGTTTTTCTTTCAGCTGCAACCCGAAATTAAGAAACTATTTCAAGCAGAAAGAGAAAGCAACATTACTGCATGTGTTGCTGCTTAGATAAAAGTCGTATCTTTAAAACTATCCTGTTTTCAGCCACAAATCTTTACTGATGGAGAACTGAAAACAAAAATAAGGTCTTGATTTCTAATTACAGTGTTTTGCTTATGCTGTTCAAAAGAAATATTTTTAAAATATTTTAATTCAAAGGAACAATTATGATTTGAGACAGACATTTTAAAGCTTGTTGTTTGTTTCTCCTAAGATTTGTCCTGTAGATAAATTTAGTTCTTAGATTACCATGCTCAGAAACAAGAGCTATGCGTATCTACACAGAAATAATTTTCCTGAGACACCTACAGCGTGTACTGGCTTCTCCTACTACACATATCCACCTACTTTGAAAAAAGATTCATAATTTTGAATGTTGCAGAATAGGACAGAATATACATTCTAAAGACTATCAAATATATACAGCACCTTGGTAATTTTACAGTAGTCTGTTGTTTGTATGTTCTCCACAGCTGAGATGCTAAGGTATTCAGCCATTTCACTGTCCATTCACTTTTATATTTAACAATTCAAATACCAAAGGTACAGGGGTAAAAAAAAAAAAATATCCCCTTGCCAACTTTGTTTTTATTTTAATCTGATCTCCTACTTTTATACATGAAAGACAGTAAGAGTCAGCAAGTACTGAAATCCTTAGCAAAATACCTTTTATTCCATCCCTCCACAGCCAACAGGTAATGAAACAAACCTCAGTTTCAGAATACAAAAATGCAAGTCTACAAGTGTTCTTTCATACTTGTGTATGTACATTTTTATTCTAGATGTAGAATTGCATGTTAATCACTTCATAAACTCAACATTTCTGTATCTGTATTACGGTATGCTTCATAACGAACAGTGCTGAATTTAGTATGTGCTACCCAGTAGATCCAGTCTAAACCGAACACTTGAAAAATTAACACATGCAGTGGACTGAGAACACATCTATTGGGATAGTCAGTGCATGGTAGGTAAGGTTGTAAGCAAAGGACAATAGCTCTTTTACTCTAAATCCCCATGGAGACACTCCAACTAGAATAAATATACTCATGGGAGCAAGAGCAGAAATAGCTGTTACCCTTCAAGTTTACACCCCCATTTACTGTACATCAAATTTCTTTGTAGAATGGAACATATGATCTAGCATAAAAAAAATGAATCTATATAAAAGTTAAATATTTGATTACAGTAGCAAGTCACCACTTCATAATGGGAAATAACATGTCTCTTGGAATTATTATTGATCTGAATTCTCTTTTTTTTGTTGTGTGTTGGATACCGGTAATTCAAGACTTGCCCATAATAGGGGCTCTGCTTTTCTCATAGTCAGCTCAATCTTTGTAGCCGTCATGTTCACATAACTCCTCTTTACATCGATCACCTAGAACAGAAAACATATTTCACAGTTCAATTTAAGAAACAGACTGCTAGATATTTGGGAATTAAGTTAGGAAGAGTACCTTATCACTAAATTTCAGTAGATGTTTAGGTAGATGGAGTTCCCTCTGTTATCTGGAAAAGTCAACCTTCTCCCATTCTCAAGCCATGAACACATGCCTGTGCATATGTAACATATATATTGGTCTAACAGATACATGAGCATGCAATGACATAGTGTCAAGGGTTTCTGCAACACTGCTATCATGGTGTTGGGATCTTAGGACAAATTGGGATAGAAAGGACCTCAGGAGGTCACCTTCTGCTCAAAGCAGCATCAACTATGATGTCACACCTGATCACTTGGGGCATTAGATTCAGATTTAAATGTGGATTACTGAATGACATGCAACTGAATTTCTTTCAATAAGCAGGGTAAAGAGGAAGCCAAACTGTTTTGAAAGAAAGGAACCTGAGGGTTTGTGTTTTGTTGTGTTTTGGTTTTTTTTTTTAAATAGAAAAATTATTCTTATACTTACTCCCCATAATTTCACACTGTGATGAAATTCCTTTTCTCCTTCAAATACAATATGGATATTTAACTTAACAAGAAAAACAACAGAACATTTTGTCAGGCTAATAAAACATACACAAGTATGTTTAAGCAAAATATATCACATTAGGATTCAGATTCTACAATAAGCAAAGTGATCAAATTGTCCCTCAGACACAGAAGTGAAAATCTATTCTAAAAGACTCTAATACAGTATCATAGTCAATAGTGGCCATATATACCTCCTGGAAGCTGTATCATTTTCTCCAAATGCGTGATTAAGACTTCAGAGAAGCATTTTAACACTTGTTTAATATTAGTAGCTGTGAAACTGCATACCGTGAAGAACTATATTAAACTACATCAAGCCAAATACCATGAAATTATGAAACTGTAATTATTTACACATATGGTGATGCAAATCCATCACACTTGGGTTTTAATTGCGGAAGTCAAATTAAAGATTTTTTTGACATATTATATTGCAGCTTTTAAAAAACCCCATTAAAGTACAGATGTCCAAACAGAAGAGGAAAAAAAAAGCTATACATACTTGAACAAACACAAATGCCAAGAAAAAGCCATTACTCAAAAAACATTCTTACGCTATTCTACCTCTGCCTTGTAAATAAAGCAGAAGACAGATTTACCTAACTTCAAGCTGCTGTAAGAATTAAAAAAAGAATTACATCTTAAGGTAGATACTCACCATTGTGCTATTTGCTTCTACATAGCTCAGATCAGGAACAGAGTTTTTAGCATATACAGAAATAGTCACTTCTCCTCCAGTCTGATGCCAATCATGTCTGCATGGAACTA